TGAAAAAGTGTGAGATATCGCTGATAGCCCCAAGGGGGACCAAAGGTCCCAGGTGTTCATCTCTCAAGAATGGCCTCCCTCATCATGGGACAGAGAAACTTGGCAAGAATGATAAGTCTGGCATAGAGTAGTAGGCCCTGCCTGCATCAGAAGCATAGAATCCTTTACTTGTGCCTGTTCTGTGATGGATGTGTTACCATGTCTGTTATGATGATGGATTCAGGTAGAAATGAAGACAGTCTGGGAAGTTCAGGCTCAATCAACACTGGAGTCTTATCAGAGAAGAGGCTTCAGTATGGGCATCTACATAAGTGATCGAAGACAGTTGGATCAGCTGTGATTTGTTTCCAGTTAGCTGAGAACCTTGCCATCCCAAGCCCTATATTAGGTGGCAGGGTTATCATTACTGACATTATCTTACATTTGGGGACTCCTTGACTCAGCAACCAAAGCCATACAACTTCTAACTGGGTCTGCAAGGTTTAAACTCTTCAGTTGGTCAGTCTAGCTAATGTGTATGTCATTTTTGTTTATCTTTTCCGAGAACAAACTTTTTTTTTTTTTGAGACAGAGCCTCAAGCTGTCCCCCTGGGTAGATAACCGTGGCATCACAGCTCACAGCAACCTCTAACTTCTGGGCTCAAGCAAGTCTCTTGCCTCAGCCTCCCAAGTAGCTGGGACCACAGGTGCCCGCCACAACACCCGGCTATTTTTTGGTTGCAGCCGTCATTGTCTGGCAGGCCTGGGCTGGATTTGAACCCATCACCTTAGGTGTATGTGGCTGGTGTCTTAGCCACTTGAGCCACAGGTGCTGAGCCCCGAGAACAAACTTTTGAGTCAGTTGGTTTTCACCATTACTTTTTCTGTTCCCTATTTCATTTTTTTCACTTTTTTTTTTTTTTGGCAGTTTTTGGCTGGGGCTGGGTTTGAACCCGCCACCTCCAGCATATGGGCCACAGGTGCTGCCCATCACTCTATTCTTTATTGTCTCCTTCATTTTGCTTGATTTGAGTTTGGTTTCCTTTCTTCTAGTTTCTTTCTTTCTTTCTTTCTTTTTTTAGACAGAGCCTCAAGCTGTCCCCCTGGGTAGAGTGCTTGGCATCACAGCTCACAGCAACCTCTAACTCCTGGGCTCAAGCGAGTCTCCTGCCTCAGCCTCCCAAGTAGCTGGGACCACAGGCGCCCGCTACAACACCTGGCTATTTTTTGGTTGCAGCTGTCATTGTTGTTTGGAGGGTCTGGGCTGGATTCGAACCCGCCACCTTAGGTGTATGTGGCTGGCACCTTAGCCACTTGAGCCACAGGCGCCGAGCCTAGTTTCTTAAAAGAGGAGGTTCAGGGACAATTATTTTAGTCAGTGTAGAAGAAACGACTTGGGGTACAGGCCCTGAGTCAGGCACACTGCCATCAAGAGGCTGCTGGTAGATCAAGAGTGTGAAGAGGAGGCGGGACTTGGTGGCTAATGCCTGTAATCCTGGCACTCTGGGAGGCCCTGAGTTCACAGGTTTGAGACTAGCTTTAGCAAGAGCGAGACCCCATTTCTAAAAATAGCCAGGCATTGTGGTGGGTGCCTGTACTCCCAGCTACTTGGGAGGCTGAGAATCACTTGAGCCCAAGAATTGGAGGTTGCTGCGAGCTATGACACCATGGCACTCTAAGGAGTG